CCCCCCCCCCCCCCCCCCCCCCCCGCTTTGTGCTCAGCTGCCTTTGTGTAACTCGATGCCTGCCCACCTTTCAGCCCCCTCCCCAGCCCGGTCCCATTGCATTCGCTGCGCTCCGGAGGGACGTGAGCAACTGCAGCACCTCGGAGTTATCCACGCTCGGTTGCGTCGGCCCCGCACGTCGGCTGCGAACGGCACGGCGACACTTTGGCACACACGTCCACAGCCACCCCACCCTTTCCTCGCGGCTCGGCCGGCAGCCGGCTCGGTTACGGTGCTCCAGGGGACGGCTGCGGAGCCGCGTCGCGCCGCGCTGAGCATGCGTCCCCTGGTTTAGATGGGATTATTAAAAGGGATTTCCCAATGGAGATGGTGATCAAGCATTGGGATGGCCTTCCTAGGGAAGTGGTAGAGTCCCCATCCCTGGAGGTATTTAAGGGATGTGTGTACGTGGCACTAGTGGATATGGTTTAGTGATGAGACTCAATGGGTCTCCAATGAGACTCCGGTCATCAACTCAGTTGAGTCACTGTCAGTTGGGTTCCCCATCTCTTCAGTGGCCAAACTGAGGCAAAAAAATAACCCACACTGGGCGTTTTTGTGAAAAACACAACTCCACAGCACCCAATTTTGTTTTGTTTTTTTTTTTACCCCGTTCTGGCCACCAACTCAAGCTGATGGCTGGAGTCTCACTGGAGACCTATGGAGTCCAACTCAAGTTGATGGCTGGAGTCTCGCTGGAGACCTATGGAGTCCAACTCAAGTTGATGGCTGGAGTTTTTCTGGAGACCTATGGAGTCCAACTCAAGTTGATGGCTGGAGTCTCACTGGAGACCTAAGGAGTCCAACTCAAGTTGATGGCTGGAGTCCCTCTGGAGACGTATGGAGTCCAACTCAAGTTGATGGCTGGAGTCCCTCTGGAGACCTATGGAGTCCAGCTCAAGTTGATGATTGGATGAGATGCTCTGGAAGGTCTTCTCCAAACTTAATGATTCTGTGATAATGTGCACTGAACCTCATGGGAAAGGAGCAAACTCCGGGCCTTGACAGCTCGCCAGTGCACATCTTGCCAGACCAGCTCCTCAACAGGTGCACATTAGGCTAACCGCCGAATTCAATATTCGCCCTTCATCTGCGCCATCCTTCTGATGCGTCACTGCATGCTGTCTGGATGCGATTCCTCGCTGCGGAGTTATAAACCAGGAGTAGCTTCAATTACACGGACAGTATAAAAGCAAAGTAAGGGAGAGGCTAAGCAGAACCTTTTAATCTGCTTAGCCCAAATGAATAACCCCGGCTGCACCAGAGTCAGTGATGTCAGAACTTGTTCCAAGAGGCAGGATGCAAGTTGAGTTACCTGGGTGTCTGCCCCAACAAAGCTACTGGGATCCGACTCGTTGGCCTTCGCTCCACAAACCTGGCAGCAAGGAGAACAAAAAAAAAAAACACAACAAACCTGCTCACAATTTTCCTGCTAAACAAAGGGATTTAATAACACTGGTTTATATGCAAAAAGTCAGAATAGGTTTAATTGGGTCGTGACCGCCGTATGTTTAATGTACAATTGCTTAATGCCCAACATAAGGTTGCAACTATTGTCTTGTGCTGCATTTGGGTTAATTGTTAAAGCAAGTTAAGGGTGTTCTCATGTTGCTGTACTACATGATTTATTCACTCCACACAATTTGATTTTTTTAATAAAAGCAATTATGTATTTTAGTATATCTCTGCTAGGCTTGTTTTATATCTTGTAAACTCAGTATGTACGATGAAAAGCGATTAATAATAATAACCCAGCATTACTTGTAATCCCATTCTCTAAATCCCAACTGCCTGTTTCAATGGGATTTTGATTAAGCCCGGATGTGCACTATGCATTAGAAATTAAGAACTTTCAGCACTCAATTCGCAATACCTGGCTGCGATGTGGCCACTGGAATTACCCCTCAATGGAAGGTAAAACCAACCCCCTGGCTGCACTGCAGACAGCTTTCCTCCACTATTACCACGTGCCCATGGCCACCAGCTTGGAGAGAATTCTGAAACACAGAGTTAGAGCAATCCTTCCAGCCCTTCATGTTTGCTTTCCTCTCTTGAGCCCAAATTCACAATTCATTTGGCTGCAGCAAGAGTTAATCCTAACCCTGATTTGAGGGACCCCCACATCTCCATGCAACCCCCATTCTGCCCCAAACCTCACCGTAAGTCCTTCCCCCTCTCCGCTCCACAGCCTGATGACACCAGCAAATATCCAAATA